CTTTTGCAGAATTAGGATGGTTATTTGCTTGGGTTCTCTAAGGCCATATGTCTGCTTTCAAGTCAAGAATATTCACTTAGTTTTAAATAAGTAAACACCTAGTGATAAGTAAATCCAGAAAAATTACTCAAACTCAGTGTTTATGCTATAGTCAGAAAATTTTTGCATTTTTATTTTATACCTCAACAAAAAAATAAAAGTATCTATCTTTTCCAGGCAGTAAATGAGTCATTTAATTATCATTTTTATAACAAATCATATAGTAAACAATAATGTATGAACACTTGTAGTAGTTGCAAGTTTCATTCCATAAAATTTAATATTAAGCTGAAATTCAGATAACAGAACTGAGGTACCCACTCTCAAAAATTCTCCACTCTGCACAAGAGGAACTGATGTTTTTATAAATGTTTGTAATTTGTGTGTTAACCTACTTTTTTGTAGAAATGTATTTATTTTTCTGTAGCTATAATGAGAAACATTTCTTCTGTTTTTTTCCTAAGGTAGAATTCCCAAAGCTAAGCTCTGAGATTCAGTTTGAAATCATGCTAAAATAGAACAGACCTCAGAATCTTCCTACATTCACTCTGCAAAATAAAAAAGGTAAATGAAAACTTTTAACCAATGGAATATAAAACAAGATGTTTTCTCTGAAATCTATCACTTTCTTTCCTCTTAGAAACATTTGTGGTTTTTTATCTTTCAAGCTCTAATGACAAAATACATTATACAGTTAATAAAAACGAAATAAGTGAACAAATATATTCAAGATGACAAACGCAGGGAGAGGTGGTGCTGAGTGGAACACAAACATATTGGACTCATGTGTCAATCACTTGAGAGATTCTCCAACCCCCATCCTGCTAAGGTACTTGATCACCACCCTCTCAGAAGGCACTGCACTTGCCTCCTATGTGCCTGATGTGTATTTTCCTTTGCAAGTTCATACACTACCTCATTAAAGTGGGTTTTTCTTGCACTTTGGGATAGTTATTCTCCCTTCACAAGCCTGAGAGAACCCAGAGGACAAGATGCACGTGTGCCGTTTCTCCTTAGTACCAGCACCAACGTATCTGCCAGGAAAGGAAGCTGGGACTGAGAGAAAAAAAAAATCTTAATATTCAAAACAGTTAGCCTTTTAGAGAAAATGTATATCAGGAAACTGCTCTCAGCAAAAGGGCATCTAGCTGTTTCCCTGAGATGCTCCACCCAATACCTTAGGCTCTCTACTGGGAGAGGGCTGATACTCACCAGACACTCCAAGAGACAGGGCCACTGTGAGCATCTTGCGTCATCCCCAGACAGTTGTTAAACCCAGAACCAGGAAAACACAGAAGAGTGGCTGAGGACGCATCACCCTGCAAAGGTACCAAAAAGCAACCTCAACCCAAAGAAATTTTGTTAAGGTGTGTGCCTAGGCAAGATAAACAGAGAGGTGCAAAGATTTGTTACAGTATTGTCAGGTAATTATTCTTTTCTGTCATGTGAAATGTTCACCAGAAAAGTAAGAGACAACCACCACACTGTGAAACAAAAATAAACAATTAAAATATTGTGATTTGGGAGAGGGATAATTGGCATTTGGGAATGTGAGTCATAAATTGGAAATTTAGTTTCCTTTTTTTTTTT